AAAATATTTTTCCTTTGGCTTCGAAGTCTGGCAAGCTAAATTCAGGTAAAGACGCCTTGAACTTATTCCCTTAATTTATTAACTTGTATACTAGTAATGATTAATGCGATTAAAAAAATTATAGAGCATTTTAAAACGTGGTTGAAGGATGTCCTCTACCCTAACATTGGTCAACAAAGCGTTCTTCTGCTTGACTCCTGGAGCGGACACTGCAGCGATACAATTGAAAAAACGAAACCTGCCGACAAAAACATTGTGGCAATAATGATACCAAAGGGAACTACTGGTCGAATCCAACCTTTGGATGTCTATGGTTTTCGAGTATGGAAAAATTTTGTGAGGCGTTTTTCTGATATTGTCCTTTTACATAATCATGACGTTAACCTTCATTCACGGAATTATATCATAAAATTGCAATCACTCGTGCATAATCAGTTGTCTTCTCCTAGATATAAAAGCCTGTTTCAATATGCATGGTATAAAAGTGGTTATATCGATGAAAGATTAGAAAACTTCCCAAACCTGGTTAATTTTGCCTTTGAAAGCTGTTCAGTTATGAAATGTAATGTTTGTGGTGCAGCAGCAATAATACGGTGTTCTTGGTGCAAAAAAGCATTTTGTATAAAGCATTTTTTCACGAATACCACTACTGTAATAAATATGATCAGTAATATTAAATAATCTCCTGCTTTATAGAAAGATGTAAAAAATATTCTCTTATAACTTCCTGTTGATTAATTTCAGTATCGTAGCACGTCGACAAAATAATTTCACAAGGACAAAAGTCCTGATCAGAACTGATCAGCATCGAATCCAGTGCAGACTTTATAAGAACTCACGTCGGCGTAGACGATTCCAAATTTGATTTGATTCAACCTCCAGTGACCTACTGCCACTGACCGCCTTATCGCGTCATCTGAACCTCCCGAACTCGGAACGATACCGTACCGCAAGAATTATACTCGAGGACCCTATCGGACCCTCGCGACGTGTAGAAATACCACCTGACAAAAGACAAATATAATCAACTTATCAATAACCTCCATTTATTGAGCCCCCCCCAGCTCCTCATTCCTATAAATCCCACCAGAGGATCTCGTCTAGCCGCTCGGACATCTCCTCACAACAATATCTAATCTTTACGTGGACATACGAGGTAAGACCTCTTTAGGCAAAACCCGAATATTTCCCCCGGCCTCGCATCCCTTCGGCCGCCACGTAACACAACACTAGACGGATTCACATGAAACTCGGTATGAATATATTTCGTGTCTGTAGAATCCATAAACGGTACAGTCCGACACGGGACCATCCCTCTAAAGGGGTGAACTACCCTTGAAAAAGAAAAAAAATTTTTTTTTGGAAGACAATTCATACAACTCGAACAGAAATTTCACGACGATGATTCTTACGGAAAATAAAGGTTCATATGTGTAGGGATATAGGAATCGGAGAAAGAGAGACTTCGGATAACAAAAAGATAAACTAAGGTTTATTAAGAATAGGGTGAACCTGTGATGTGGCTTGCGCCCTTCGTTATCGTCGTCGTCGTCGTCGTCGTCATCGGTTTCGGACTGCCGTCCCTTCTCGCTTCGGGAGGGCTTTGGACCTCCGTGTCCTTTTTATTTCGGAACACGTGGATCGCACATTTTCCGACGTAGCCTTAGAAGGAAATATTCGGTTTCGAAGGACCTTTCTCTTTTATTGCTTTATGGTCTGCCAGGCGCATTCTGGCAGACCCCTTCAAAGCTTTCCTTAAAACTTCCTAAAAATAACTTAGGACTACTTTCCGTTACTACATGTTTTTAGTTTTCTTCCAAAAACCATTATGTAACGTGATAAACATATTTCAATAACAGGTAGTATGTGAAATACCGTATCTCTGTCCGGTCGCGGCGTAATCATATTATTCAAACATCTACATCACATACATTGTTTCCACCGAAAGTTCTTTCGGTCCATACACATAAATTATCATTCAGTCCGCAAACACAAACTTTATTCTACATAAATTGCCTCGCAATACAATTTAGAACGTGAATATATAAAAATTCTCCGAGAATATTATTTCCGGAAAGCAAAGAAATACATTGGGAGTGAATGTATCTGAAAATACAATGTAATAGAAATAATTTTCACGTAAAATTATATCATGGTTCATATTCATGACAATAGTGATGGTGGTCGAAAACATGTTTGAAACAAAATTCTTTCCTACACCAAGAGCATCGTATTATTGGTACTGAGCCGTAAACTCCGCATTTCATAATCGATATTTTTTCGAAGGCAAATTCGACCGGATTTTGGAAACTATCTAACTTTTTATGGACAAATTCAAGTTTAAACCAGGCATATTCAAAAAGGCTTTGATATCTAGGAGAAGATAATTGATTATGTACGAGCGTTTGCAGTTTTATGATATTGTTTCGCAAATGAAAATTAACATTAACATAACATCGTAATTGTGTAAGAGCACATTGTCAGAGAAACGTCTTACAACATTTTTCCAGACTCTAAACCCATAGACGTCTAATGATTGCATTCGCCCGGTAGTTCCTTTTGGTATGGTCATCAACATGACATCTTTATTTGCAGGTTTCCTTTCATTGATAATACTGCTGCAGGGACCGTTACAGGAGTCCAAGAGAAGACTTCTCCGTCCAGTGTTTGGGAAAAACACTTCTTGTAGCCAGGTTTTAAAGTGACCTGTAATTTCGAAGTATTATTTATCGTGACGACCGTGTAGATTGCATCAATAAAAAGATAGGCAATTACGTCATTACCTGACGTCATTTTGCCAGATGATGAAGGCAGAAGAAACACATTTGGGGGCTGATATAATGTTTTATCGACTAGAGGCCCAAATTGACTACCTGGTTCCTTTAAAACTATCAATAAAAGTAATAATAATCAACCATCACAGGAGGTTATTGGTTGAATCGTATAAGTGTGAGTTGTGTCCCACATGGATTGACATTTCAGTTTTTGCGTTCCCTCATACATTATCGTACGTCCTGAATGAACTTGGAGCTGGAGTCCACTTTGATCAGAATTATATAAATTTTGAGGCCCGTACTCTTCTATAAGGATCTTTACAGAGTTAGCAAACTCATCACCTGATTTTTCCAAGCTCTCAACGTCTTCTACTGTCTTTCTTGAGATGAATTTTGTAATTTTTCTAGAAACAATGCGATGAGCTTTTTTGAAATTGTATAACTATTTTGCAGAAGCCATGAATTGCACGTTGTCGTTGCTTTACTCCCCCAAGCTTCTAAAGTCCATTTTTTCATATCTGAATCGTGCACTATTAATCCAGCTTCGATAGCATTCCTTAATTTGTTCAATGTAAATCTCGAGACGCGTATCAATTTTTCTCTCCGAGTCCCTCCTTCGTCCACTTGTTTTGCCCACCTCGTTAACTGACGACAATCAGAAAGTTTTCATAATTTATTCTGGACACTGGAAAACTTGCGATAGTCTTTCCTTCCACTCCCCCCTAGTAATCTACTGTTCGCTTTTTGTAATCAAAATCAATATCATACAACACAGAACTTCTTGAATCGATTCGTTTAGAATTACTTCTTGCTGATTCAATTCAGTCTTTGGGAAATGCATTGTTCGAAATGTTGCGAGCAGTAAATTAAGCACGTTCATTGGATTTACGAATATGTTTGAAATATCGGAACGCGCTGACTCAATTGAAAATTCTTTGCACTGAAGAATGTCTAACGATTGTTGAGCCGCAATGCACGCACAGAATTTATAAAGAGTCACACATTTGCTTGCGATACCATTCGTTTATTTATATACCGACTCATAATCTTATACACACACGTTGGCGTTGTATACAAATCCTCCGTACGTATTTTTCCAGAGACAATTGATCCATTTTTGTCTTTGAACTCGCGAAAATATGTGATAAAGAACGACGTAGTGGTTTATTTTTAATGCATGACGAAAACGTTGTACAATGTATTGCGAGACAATTTATGTAGGATAAGGTTTGTATTTGCGGACTGAATGATAATTTATGTATACGGACCGAAAGAAATTTCGGTGAAAACAATGTCTGTGAAGTAGATGTTTGAATAAAATGATTATGCCGCGACCGGAAAGAGATATGGTATTTCACATACTGCCTGTCATTGAAATATGTTTACCACGTTACATAATGGTTTTTGGCAGAAAACTAAAAACATATGAACCTTTATTTTTCATATGAATCATCGTCGTGAAATTTCTATTCCAGTCGGATGAATTGTCTTCGAAAAAAACATTTTTTTTCTTTTTCAAGCGTAGTTCAATCCTTTAGAGGGATGCTCCCGTGTCGGACGATACCGTTTATGGATCCTACAGACAGACACCGTTTATGGATCCCACAGACACGAAATATAGTCGTACCTAGTTTCATGTGAATCTATCTAGTGTTGATATAAAAAAACCCTACTTGCCCTTGATTAATATTTGTATTGTCAAATAGTGGTTTTTCGGAAGAACCAAAAACACGGAAACTCTTATTAAATGCAAGCATTAACGGCATGCAGTTTTTATTTCAATCGGATCATTTGTCGCCGAAAGAAAAAGAAAAAAATTATTGATAAAGGTAGTTTACCCCCGTCGAGGTGGTGCAACCGTATAGGGTGGTAGCGTTTCTGGATCCTGCTTACACGAGATGTATTTATGCTAAGTTTCATTGATGTCCATGGAGTGCTTCTACGGAGAAAGAAAAAATCGATTTTTTCATCAAACTTTGAGGGGTTGTTTCACCCCCTAGATATCCATCTTAGCACGTAAAAAAAAAATGCGCGTCCATGAGATTTTCGAGTTTCACAACATATATGAAAATGATCGAAATCGGGGTGGGACACTTGGGAATGTTTCCTTGTAAGACAAAATGGTTATCTTTTATCTCATAAAAACGGCAATTATTTTTTTCCAGTAAATTAATTTGACACTTCTTATACTATGTACCGTTGAATATCGCGTTGTTTAAACGCATGCGCAAATACTACAATATTAGCTTCTGTGTCCCTGACCATGAGAGAAGCCCATGAGAGGACTTTGGTCGTTTCAAAACGTTACACCATTTTGTAGAATGTGTTCCGTCCAATTAGTTTATAGATCAGTGCACGGCTTCGGCTCGAACACCCGCTCCCCCTTGTGCTAAAGACTTCACACGGATCCAACAAATGCCTACTTCCTCTTCAAGATACGTAATATGCTATTGAGTCTCTTAAACGTTGTAATTTAATATATGTCCCATTCTAATTCCGGTAACCGTAAAATAAATGCCTATGACTTAAATAAATACGTNACATTTCACATTTTAACCAGTTTAATAATAAAAATAATAGTAATGATTTCTACTCTACCACATACTTTATAAAAAGAGACAAATACTTAATAATAAGGCTTTAGAGATTAATTTATAGCAGGATTCCGAACTTAAAAGGACCCTTTAGAACTTACGAAGTACCTTAATTGTGCATGGATTTCTAATTTGATAATTAATTTCTTTTAGCAAGAATTTAATAATCCTCCAACACCAATTATAAATGTGCATATCTAATTTAATTATTGTGATTCATTTTATAGTGGAAATAATAATGTTGTGATAAATCGTACATTGTAAAATCTGATGAAATACTAATTATTATACATGAATGGTAATAGCAAGCCCTTTAAAATAAAACAGAGAAGCTTGTATCATCTTTACTAATTACTTAGTCTTAGGCACTACAATCATCGCCTAACTAATAATAATAATAGTGTAAAGTTAGTATCAATTCATAATAACTATAAAAATATCACGGTTTTAAATAAAAAAGGTAAAGTGTTAACAATAATAACGGCAAAATTCAACAGAAACCTGAATAAAAGAAGCTACTTCTTCCATATGTGACGTCAAACGGAATTTGAAAGGAAATAGGGCAGCGGAAGCCTTCATAATTATTGCCTAATGTCCTTAATGAGAAATGTTCCTTATTCCGCAACAAAATTAAGTCAGGATGTCTGGAAATAACATCATTTAGTATTACTGTCGGTAAAAGCCTAATTTCCAGAATTTGACCTCTTTCTACAGTGCTACGTCCAGCCTAATTTGCTAAACTTATAACGAAAAGACCTGTGGAAGCGTACCTAAAGTGCGGAAAATTAAAGGAAAACGACAATCATATAAATCCTTGGACGTACTAAAAATACTGCGAGCTTTATGTGTATCATCTTAAAAAACATTAAGTAATGAATACGTACGTATTCATTGAATACTTTTACATTCGAAAATGCAATATTAAACTTAAAAATGGGTCACTCGGAAAAACATTATTTAATATATACATCTCTGGGTAGAGTGTAAAAATAATGTTAATGTACATTCATTGGTATTAATTAGTAATTCGATCTACTGTGATCAGCTATTTTAAGGTGCGCTCTTAAAATAAAAGTATTTACTGAACAATGAAGCACACTCGTTTTCTTAAAAAATGTTCATTCTTGTTATTATTCAAACACCCACTATTGGCCCGCTCTACACTTGCATTTTAAAATTACAACATATAGATCTTAAAAAGTTATGTTGCCAAGAGAATCTGAATCTCCTCTAGACAAAATCTCGCTTCAAAAGTCTTAACCACCTTCTTTTTTTAAGTGTACTCCCACAACTACAAACTATAATAGTAAAAATCAATACTTAGTTGCAATAGTTCTGTTTATTTTTACGCAAAAGGCATTGCTTTCAAAATAAGTTATTTTAGATGAGAAGGCGTGTTGGTGGTCCGATCGATGCATGGAGTTGAAGTGTGACGATGTAATCGATATTTTTGATTGCAAAACTGATTTTACAAATCACAATCAAAATGACGGATGTACAATTTTCGGGATTTCACGGACCGAGTGAAAAGGTAATAGCAAACACGTCACCGGCAATTGAGTGGAAAAATTAAATCCTTGTAAAATATTATGTCTGACGTAAAGTTAGGTCTTAGATAAGACATTCAACGAGAAGTCAGTCCGACTTACGAGTCACTCGGGGCATGCACCGCTAATATATGCATATTTCCATTCAGTTCTTATTGTGAAATTATGCTCATATCAAAAGTTCTAAACTGCGAACGAGCTGTGTAAGTAATGTTATTGCTTGTCACGGGTGACTGTGCACGATTCTCCTATTGAATGATGACTCGAAAGTACCTAGCTCAATTGAAAATGACAGGCGATGGGAATCCTTTTAAATATTCAGAGGAAGAATGCTGAACAAACTATTGAAGGCATAAACATCTTTGAAGATCTTTCGTAAGTTAGAAAGATTACTTTTATCTGCTATGTCTGATCCGTAACATCATAATCATCGAAATACTACACGCATAATCACCACGTTACTTTATTCACTGATACTTGTTGCATCGAGAGATTTGAAAAATTTGCCTATTTTAACACACGCGCGACGGGTAAGGTAGCATTCTTACATCACCTCTCACAAATTTGTTAATATGTAACGTGACTATCGTATTGCGAAGGATTGAAATTAGAACAGTGAAATCGATAACGTGCAGTATTATACCATAATGTAATAAAAAATAAAATATCTTCGAATAACTCACAACTGGAATCTTAAATTTAACCTGTTAACTGCGGAATTTACTATAACGTTACGGGTTACCGATGTGTATACACGTCGAACGCAGTTAATTGGTTAAAAAAATAACCTTAAACAACCATGATTTAGTTATGTTCAGGTGTAGAATTACACATACTGGTTTTGATGATTGGTTTCTCAGCATACACCGTTACGGTTGATCAGTTGTGATATTACCGTAGCTAATTCGACAATTTAATCGTTCCACAATTCCAATTGTGTATTTATCGAAACATAATAAAACAGTCAATTGTTTTAGTTTTCTGCACGTTACAATTGTGTGTAGACCTTCTACATTATAAATCGCAATACATCATTTCCCTTCTTAAAACTAAGTTAGCGGTAGAATTTTCTCAATATCGGTTCATTTAGAGCAAATTCATTCGTACACAACGCCTTTGCTCGTGCACTCCCATAGTTCAGCACTCTTCGCTCCTAAGTTTATGTAAATTATGGTAAATTACTCGATGAATAGCACACAGTGACTGGAATAGATACTGCCGAGGTTGACTCCAATAGGGAACTCTAATGCCAACCGTTCCCCTAGTAGAGAAAGGAGTCCCGAACCGGTCCGGTAATTGATCTCAATTAGTGTTAGGGTGTCGAAGCGTCATAAATCTGGAAACCTGGAAGTTTAAAAATTAATTTTTAATATGGGACGACCGAACGTTCCGATACGCCACATTGAAAAGCTCGTGTTAAATATGTTTTCTGTATTATGACCAGTTTCCTTTGAAACCAAATAGTAAATAAGAGTTAATTCGATGTATATGTAAATACCTCCCTGAGTTATTTCGATTACCAATTTATGTTCAAGCAAAGCAACAGAAGTTGTCTCCCGAAATGTATGAATTGATGTTAGTACTGAAAATTAGGTAATCTATTAAACAATTAGTCCACGGTGCATTAATCGTTTAATCACTTCGATAATCTTTCATCAATGGCACAGTAAAACACATGGCAAAGAAGAATAATAAAAACCATACCAATTAAATGCTGGATTAGCAGTATTATCTAAACGTAGTTTATGCCAGTTTCCGTTATTTATTTCAACACAAATATAATTCGGATTACTCAAACGAAAATAAAGTACAACGTACTATGTATAAAGTACTGCTACGATAAATTATACATTATGATTAAATGTCGATTTTAATTTTAAGTTTTACAAAGCGATGGTGTCAATTTCATAAAACTTGAATACCTGTTAAGCAATAGATATTATTTAAACAATAAGTAATAAAATGCTTTATTTGTTGTGTTTCTTATCTTCAAACAGACGACGTAGTATGTAGAACCTGCATCATTGTCATATATGCACCGTAACCTCTGAAATTGAGTATTGTATATTTAAATTTCAACTTAATGGAAACAACATCATGTATAATAACTAAAAATTTTGAATGAATAAAAAAAAGAAATTTCTCCAAAATTGATTTGAAAAACTGTAATAGTCATAATCAAAATTTGTTAAAACTACAACCACTGTTTGCTTTGCACATATATTAATCTCAACTCAATGTGTAGAGAATCAAATGGTTACAAATTCCGCTATTTAAAGATTTAGATTTCATTTATTAAAATTCAGTACTAACATTTTTTGTGAATAAATTAAACTTAAAAATAACAGTAACAATAGCAAAAAATAATATACAACAATATTAGCTGTATAAAGTCACAATTAATAAATGTCTGTGATTATGGTATTTTTTCGAATTTTATAATCATTATTTTAATTACTATATTTACATTTCATGAACTGCATTTTATTATTTTTTAATAATATCACACCTATTTCTGGATAAACAACTGACTATAAAATCACTTAGACGCAATGAAAACCACAAGTCTGCAAAAAAATTGCGATTTCTATTTAAAGACAGTTTAGCAAATTAACATCCTAAACAATATTTTTACATATCTATTAGGTGTACAACTTTGCTTCCGCCGCTTACCGCTAAAGCCATCTTTAGGAAAACGGCGGAAGCAAAGTTGTACATCTAATACATTTGGCAAAGTAGAAAATATGCAAGAAATTGAACAAAGATAAAACTAGTGCTCCATGAAGCACTCTATTAATCCGAAAACGGGGGTGAAGAAACGGAATCATTTGCAAGCAAAATAAATGAACTGTTTTAAAGGAATGTAAACCGTATTTCATAACAAAACTAATGTTTCACACAACTCTAGGTGTACCCGATACCCGGTAACCGGTACCCAGTGGTGATGTAGTACACGATATAAAATGAGCTTCGCACAAACAAAATCAAATATCCATAAAGCAATAAAATTCTTCTTCTGTGATTTAATAATAACTTTAATTGCGATATTGATATTTTACAAATTTCTGTTTAACTGATATTATGTCTTCTGTTTATATAAATACAATTTAAGTGAAGCTAGTGTATGTACATTCGGTCATTGCTTAACTTACCGCATGGGGTCTTCAAAATAGTCCGATGGCACTTGGAACAGCTCTGGATCGATGTCGTTCCTAAATGCAAACTCTTGAAAGGTTATCTTGGCCGTGACAGTAGGTAGAATAGGGATGTCGATCTTCACCGGGAAACCAGGTGGTAGTTTCATCAGAACGAATTGTCTTAATTTGCTAAAGTGCTTGAACGGTGCGATGACTTCCAATACATTGAGTAACATGTCGACTGTCAGCGGAAAGTCTGGACTCATTGCGACTGTCGCTTTGAATGACTTGCTGCTCTCTTTGTACACAAGACTTCTTCCCAGCAATGGGCTTTGTCCTGCTGGCGCTGCCAAATATTCTTCCCATGTGATATTAGATTCCGGAGGCGGATTCAATGATGTTCTTCTTACCGGGGGCTATAAAAAATAATTTCAGGAAATTTAGGGTAATAAGGCGCAAGTTTATTTTTTACAATAGAATAAAAGTGCCAAGTTCGTGGCTCCCTCTGCCGGTCAGTAGCACAATCAAGAGTCCATTATGTGTGTTGTCAGAGCTGTGGAAGTGTCCATGATTAATTGAGGTTGTTGTGTAATATTCTCGGGTGAAATTTATAAAATTTGATTATAGTATTTGAGCTTCTTGTCGCTAAGTTTTGTGAAATACTTTCTATCAGGTACATAGTACCTTATACCTTTCTCTATATACTGTCATGTTAATTTTGTTGAAAAGATTTGTTGTCTTAGATATCAATACCTAAAAATATAAATTACACCGTACAGGTAATAAGGCCAGACATAATGCAACGTAGTGCTACTGAAAGACTTTTTCAAAAAGGACAAGAGACTGACTAATTGTAATAAATACGACATCGTAACAAAAACTGAGTGAAATGTGTAAAAAAAACGAAGTCTGCCACCTCAAAGAAGATCGAGAACTGGTACTGCAAGCCTTTACTAAGAAAATAGGGTTGCCGATATGCGGCAACGTGCCTTGTGCACAAAATGACTTTACGAAGAATACCCGAAGATAAAATTCGTGGATTTTGATGACATAACTTGCCCTAACTGTACAAGTTAATATGTATAGTAGATTGGATCTTACTCCCGATGTCCGTGAGTCTTATTGCCCACACGTGCGAGTGACAAAGCCCTCAACCTACTACAAAAGCATCATACTACAATTTTTTAAATTACGGTTTTGTTTAGAATTATATTTCATTCTTGTAATTTTTAACTGAAATAAACATTGTACGCGTACACCCTACTCGTTTCCTTTTCCCGAAATGTATTACATTTTAGCTTTTACAAGCCTTTTAAGTTATGGTGGGCTTTATTATCCTAAGGTGCCTTACTGTAAAACAAATTATATTATATACGCGTACTGGGCGCGCGAGCTTGTATGTGGACATAGTTTTAAGTATAATACAATAAAAAAACCAAACTTCCTTGAAAAAACAATAGTGAAATTTTAGTTACAGATGTTTACATTTATCTTAAATATTTACTTTTATTCAAAATCTTCGGTTTATACCCAAAATTCGTGAAAAGAACATTCAAAGTATTTCAGAAAAAATTATGGTCATTTTAATCATGAATAAATAAATAATATAAAGATGAACACCATAACAAATGTAAACAAAATGAAACAAAAATAAAATGTGGCATTCTAATACCAAAGTTATTAATGCATTAACACTTACTAAGTATTAAAAAATGCAAAAACATTTCATTTTCAACCAATATCTATCTACCTGTACATTTTCTTTTTCTATTAAAAAAATACTTAAATATTAGGTTAAAAATCAGGTTACAAAATTTTAGAATATTTGAATTGGCCAGAATTTATGAAGTCATCTTTTACTATATAAAAGCATTAGTCCTTAAAAAAAAAGTATCATATTCCTTTATAACAGTAATAAGAGTTAGAGATTTTAGTATGACATAGATAACTCAATGAAAAATAAATAAATAAACACGACAAATCAGTAAAAGTAAATAAATATGGTAGTAGTATATATTTATAATTATATTTATATGTACGTACGTGTGTACATGTGTACGAAACCTTTATTTTTTTATTGGTATAAATTTACACAAGGTGGTTATCAAAAAACTCGTAGCGTTAAGTGATGCGAGAAACGTGCTCTGTGCGTTAAGTTCGAGAGAGACGCCACAGAGTTCTATACAGTAAGGATTAAGATTTGAGGAGTGGGGGAAATGGAAATATAATTTCTTCATTACTACAGATAAAGAAATAAATTTTCGATCAACTCAAAAAATCCAGCAAAAAATCAGGAATTTTTTTAAATTTATCCGACTCTGATTGCTGTTATCTACGTAAAGATATGGCACGGTAAAGTTTTCTGTAATCGTTGTTCTCATATCGTCATCGTTGTCCCTCCAGTCACAGACTACCATTTTCGCACTCACATGATGGGTCAACCTTCATACGACTTTTCGTACGACATTCGATGGCGCCCCTCGCGGAATAAAAATGAACTGCGGCGCTGAGCGCTGCAACGATCGACGATCACACCGAATATGACGCGTCGAAAATGCAAAACAAATCGAAATTGCGCGTGGTCACTTCCGTTACAGTTCTCATTGGATTTCATCCTCGACGTGCTCACACGCCGCGCTCTATGTGGCATGCAACGCTCAGTGAAACTCCGGCGACGAAGTTAATAAACATCGATGATATTTTGAGATAAACATGAATGTGCCGTTTCCACTATATCGAGACAAATGAATGATTATCAGATTATTGACATCGATAACGTGACATTTTTTTTTAGGTTAGACATGGATGACATTTTTAGGTTAAATAAATACTTCGTCGAAGATTTTCAACAAATTGTCAAGATAAATCGTTGATACTGACATTTCTAGGTTAACTATCACTATTAGAACTGTTCAAATTAGGAGTAGTTCAATGTTCTTTCGATTGACACTTTAAGTTTCGTACTTTAGAGGTATCGTCCTTTCATACTTTTAACATCGTCGACATATTTAGATTAGTGATTTCCGGTATCGATCCTTCCAAACTACCTTGCTTCTTTGATATTACATTAGATAATCTCGCGACTCCTCTGTTACTATTACATATAATAATTCAATTTTCTTCTGATGCCAGTTTTGACATTAAAACTTTCAACTTGGTGTATTAGTAACTCGACACTGTCCTTCTATCAATTGTAACGGGGCGATTCGGCAGCGCCTGCGCGATACCGAAATCAACGGCAATGGACGCATGCACAATAACACAGTAATTAAGCGGTGCGAGAAGGCCGAGGAGTAGGAAGAGGCCGCGAGACTCCGGAAGACCCCGAGTCAAAATCAAAGAGGTAGAATCCATTAGATTTTTAATGGAAACAGACACCCAAAATTAAATAGCACTAAAGCAAATTCGAGTCCAGAATCAGACTAAAGTTTAGAAGCGCAATTAGGTAGAAAGACAACCGGAGTAAGCCGGAATCCAAAATCATTTATGAAATAAAAAGTTAGAGGCGGGAAAATCCTAAATTAAATCCCAATAACCAATGGTCTCTGCCATCTTCGTAGCCATCGCATTCCCAACTCTAATCCTTTTTGAACCAATCCTGTAACTGTGCTACTACAGAGTAATGGTATGCAGTTTTGTCGGTGCCTATGCACCAAGAAACTGCATCCGTCGAGGGTTCGAGCCTCACGGCTCCTGAGACCGAAATTAATTAAATTTTAAAGATAAGAAAAGAAAAGAGACTGGCGAGAGAGCGAGGAGAGCGTTTACGAACGATCAGCTGAGCGCGTCAATATT